ATGAGATTAGTGAAGGATCTTCTTGGAACGCATGCAAAATCTTGAAAATCTTGGTGGAAGGAGGAGGACGATTTAGAGATGTTTGGAGAGAATTTTTGAGTGTGTGTGTGTGTTTTGGCTCTCGACCGAGAGTAGAAGAAGAAAGGGGAGAGAGAGGTAGTGAGGTGACTTGCATGGGAACATGAGAGATCATACCTTGATACATGGTGAGTATTATGGATGTGGCACCTCCAAAGTCAACTCCCCCACTTTTCCATTTCATTTTTCATTTTTTTATTTGATGATGGGTCGAGGGTTCTTGGGCTAGGAGAAAGGGGTGGAGTAGTTTAGGCCCATTAACTTTATTTAGGATCTTTGGATCCTAAACATAATTTTTTTTGGCCCATTGGGCCCTTGGAAGCATTCAGGACACAAATAGAATAAAAGAATGGGCTTATGGCTCACTAAGGTTAATTGGATTAGTTATGGCCCAATAAGGCCCATTAGGGTTAGAACGAATCATTCTAGACCCAAATGGTTCAAAATGTTTTAGATTTATGAATCGGGTCCAATTAGGATCCAATTAGGGCTTCGAAGTCCAATAAAGTTGAATTGGGTGCTTATTGGTCCATTAGGCCCAATAAGGAAATCCTAGTCCAATATGGACTCAAACCGGGATTCTTAGGGTTTTCAGACTCTTTGATGAACATAATTGATGAATCTAAATGAGCATTGAGTGAGATTTACTTAGAGTACATGTTTTACAATAAATGAACGGTTACACATAAATAGAATTTCCTAGCTAAAATGCTGACAACTTCCTCTACTGAAATTTGATAAGGATCATTTGTGTGCAGCCTGCAAGATGGGAAAGCAAAGTAGAAAAAGTCATCCTACTATTGTGAACACGAAATTCATCGAACCTTTGGAACTTCTACACATTGGACTTTGCAGACCTTCTGCTATTGAAAGCGTTGGTGGTAGTAAGTACATTCTAGTAAGTGTAGATGATTTTTTCACGTTTCACTTGGGTGTTCTCTCTTAAGCAGAAATCTGAAGCAACGCCAAAGCTCAAGGACTTTATCAAGCATATCGAGCTTCAACTGCGAAAGCTGGTTTGCAACGTTCACAGCGACAACGAGCTAGAATTCAAAACCAAGCATTTGAAGAATTTCTTGCTGAAAAAGGAGTCACACACAAATTTTCTGCTTCCTACACTCCACAACATAATGGTGTAGTTGAAAGAAGAAATCGTTCCATATGTGAAGCTGCACGAACCATGATAATGTTCGCATGTTTGCCTCTCTGCTTCTGGGCTGATGCGATAACTACCGCTAGTTTTACCCAGAATCGATCTATCCTAAACAAGCGATTCTGAATAACTCCTTATGAAATCATAAATAATTGCAAACCTAACGTTAAGTTTTTCCATGTTTTGGCTCCAGGTGTTTTATCTTCAATTCCAAAGAACAACATAACAAGTTCAATGTGAAAGTTGATCAAGGTATATTCTTGGGATATTCACTAACATCCAAGGCATATAGGGTTCTCAACAAACGCTCCAAGAAAATAGAAGAGACCTACTATGTAACGTTTGATGACAATTATCTAAAGTGAATTCAGTTAAACGAAAGTCAGATCAAGAAAATATTTCCTAAGCCTTATCCAACTGTAATTCCTGTGTCCAACCTTTATGAAGAGTTCATGTTAGTCTTTGATAAACCTGAGAAAGCTATCACGTCTGAAGCTAAAGTAGCGGATAATAAAGTCGACGAACTTAAGAAGATTATCGATGATGCTGCGAAATACATGCCTCAACAGCCGTCCACTGCGAAAGAACCTCAATGCACGTGCTCTACTTTCTAGGGGAGAATTCTAGTTCTAACACACAATTCCAGGGGGAGGATGCTACACATTTTATGTATTGATTTTAACTATGTTATAATAGATATTTTATTTTAGTATATATATTATAAAGCTTGGTTACTAGATGTATGAGTGTTGACACATTTTGTGGGGAAATCAAATTTTCATTGAATACGAAACATCAATTTTTGAGAAGTAATTTCTTTGAGTGTTAATTATTGAGCCATATATATTAAGAGTTGGATACAAAGTATCAATAAACATTTATATATCAAAATTTGTTTGTCGTAATCAATGCTTATGTTTTCTTAATAGTTTTTAGATTTTCTATATTATATTTTTACTTTATTTTCTAAACGAGTATTGATCGGGTTCCTGGATCCATTAGAGTAAGAATTTATTTTTAATCATAACTGTGTTTTATTAAAATAAAACAAGTTTACTTAAAAATGATAATTTATTCTACACTTATATTTATGTAACACTTAGTGTTTTTATTTTCCTATATAAATTTGATCATTTGATGATTAAAAGTTAGTTATCAGTTGTTCATGTTTTGGTTAGATAATAGGTTAGATTTTGTTATTTAACAACAACTAAATAATTAGTGCATTGTTTTTCCGATTTATAATTGGATCTTATACAAAATATAAACTTATGATTTATATCTAAGACATTTTAGAATAGACACTAAATCAAGTGTATATATACTTACAATACAACCATGTTTTTGTAATATGATATGTTTCGGAAATGAAACAATTGAATTGAATTTTGATCAATTTGACGTGCATTCATTTTACGATTTATAATTGGATCTAATACAAAATATAAACTTATGGTTTACATCAAACTGGTTCCAAAAATAGACAATAAGCCAAGTATATTCTTACGATACAATTCGTGTTTTTGTAATACAAGTATCCGAAATGAAATAGTTGAATTGAAATTGTTCGTCGGAAGGAAACTAGGCTCCACTAGCTGAAACTAAATCGACATCCAAAACAACGAAAATTATGTTTTGAAAATATAACCGATTATAGCATTCTAGTTTTAGTTTTTTTTAATCAATCAATTTTAACTTCGCCCTTTCAATTTCTTTATAACTAACCAATTATAACATGGCATTTTGAAGAGCTTATCAGGAAGCCACAATTTTAGTTTAGAATGTTAGCGATCAGTAGGTTCCCATCCCTCCGCAAACCCTAAAAAATGTAGATCTAAAGTTTAACATAATAGATCAAACATATGAAAACACTTATCTAACATACAAAAAACGACGAATACATTAAATAATACAATGTTTGTCGTACAGAAACTGAATCGCTAAATTGAAACTAATTATTGTTCGCCGAAAAGAAACTAATTGATTTCATTTCTGCTAACATGACTCTTATGGATAATTGTCTAAATGTAGAAAACAATTTGTGTAAAAAAAACTAATCGCCTTTAGAAACTGACTTCTAAAAGAAATTATTTGCACCCGTCGCTTAGCTGGATATATATATATATATATATATATATATATATATATATATATATATATATATATATATATATATATATATATATATATATATATATATATATATGAGAAAAGTGAATATACCCTTAAGGGAATATAAGCTTAGGTACTCAAATTTACCATACTACATCGTTTTGTATCATATAATACATTCTAATTGTCTAATGTTCTTATAATTTAACTTCTAACTTGATTTACTTCTAATATTTTTATAAGTTACACATTTATCTCCCTCTTACATAATTTTCATTTTCAATTACAATATATATAGCCTAGTATGTGTTTGGAAAAAAAATATGATTTAAAAGAAAGATAATAGTGAAATTTTGAATATCTTGAAAGTAAATCAAGTTAGGGTTGAAGTTTAATAACGTTATAATGCATATATCTATGAAAACAACGTATTATGGTGTGTTTGGGTACCTAAGTTTATATACCTTAAGGGTATATATATATATATATATATATATATATATATATATATATATATATATATATATATATATATATATATATATAAAAGAGAATGTTCAAGAGATACAAGTGTGATACCCTAACTGTCAAATAAAATATACAGATACTACTCGAAATTTAGTTCGAGTATAATTAAATATTTAATATATGGTATTATCCATTTTCGTAATAATTTATGTAACATTAACTTTAATGGTATGAATTTTATATATTTCACGTGCTTAAGTGTCACCAACATAACATTTTCTTTATTTGAATAATATTTGCTCCAAATAATTAATTTTGATTTTATTTATTTAGTTGTAGTCACGTCTGTTAATCGTTTGAATTTTTTTAAATGCGACGTAGGCATCATGCAACTTGGCAAATATTTTATACAAAAATCTTGTTGCTCATCCTTGGGCAAATTTATTTTCACATTTTTTATGTCAAATTTTTTAATTTAAAACTAATTAATAATTGTTTTCATATGAAATGTGTTGTAGAAATATAGACGTGTCCTTATGTTAGTTTTAAATTTGATGTTTTTATTTGTATTTTTTATTTTATATTAATTAGCTGCATTTGCAGTTAGGTAACTTAATTAGGTTAATCGAACATTACCATAAATATGGATTAGTGATGAGTAAAAATAAAATAAAATAAAAAAAATCAACCTACTAATGAATGCAATCAAAAATATAAATAAGAAAAATAAATAAGATATTGGTTATTATCTGTGAAGGTTACAAAGATAAAATGTGTGAAAATAAGAGTAAAAAGTTACAAATAATTTAAGAACAACACTATATATACTGCACTCAACAAATACAAAAAGTATAGTAGGACTTCGACTATCAGAGTGTTATGAAATGACTGTTCCTACTAAAATACATAGATATATCAAAGATTTGTAACCTTCGATATAGACATCTATGCTATACTTCGACTCTACATAATGAAGACTTCGACTCTCCGATATCATCACAACTACATTTGACTCTACAATCTCCCCCCTTTGTTATGACTATCTAAGTCTTTAAGCAACAAGTAAAGTATTCACAACATTCAACAAAGCTCTTCGAATCTCCATGTACCAACATAGAATCTTCCTTATCTCCATTTGACCTTCAATGGGATTCTTCTTGCATAATTCTTAGAAAAATGCTAATAAGATTCAATGTTGAATACATCTCATTGGAGTATGTGTGAAAGAAATATTTCTTCTTTCTCTCTCCTTCATATTCTTTCCTTGAAACACCACTCCATTGGGTTTCATCAGAATCTCACCATCTACATAATCATTGATGTTCAAATCCTCCCTCAATTTTGAGTTTGGATTCTTCCATTTCTTTTTGTAAGCAGTAGCTAACGCGAAGTCTGTTAATGCTATGTAAGCAAAATAACAGTCGATGAAGTTCTTGAGACGACCATAACCAATGATGTATGTTGCTTTCTCTAAAATTTGATCATTATTAATATCTCCAATGAGCTTTTCTAGATTAATAAGATCATTTAGATTCATCAAAGGAAAATCAGCAATAGTGAATTCACAAGGAATATTTTTTCTCTGACGACCTTGTATCGATAATTTGGAATAATACCTGCAAATATCACATCCTTTATTATTGATATTAACCTGATTATCTTTTTCAAGGACCACATCTCTTCTTATTTCTTTCCAAGAATTGTATAAAATCTTATCTTCAAGATTTTATACTATTCCGTTTCTTGATAGTTATCAGGAAGCTTGAATTGAGGAAAAGTAAACATCAAAGGATTGAATGGAAAATACAGTTGATTGAATAAGGAGTCTTCAATTAAAAAGCTTTGGTTTGGTTGTTTTTCAAACGCATCGACTTCTCCATAAGCAACATTTTCAATGGTTTTATAACACCAGACTTTGTTAATATTTTCTTTTTCAAGACCAGGTGGGTATTCTCTCTTTGTCTCATAATACTATTAAGTTGTTTAAGTTTCTAAGTCTATATATCTTGCAGTCTTTTCTTTTCTTTCTCAGAAGGATCCAGATGAACGCTTTTTCCTTTATTCTTTAATGCAGTTGTTGTAACTAGCTTTACCGTTGAAGATCCAGAACCTCCTTCATTTATATTTAAACCCTTCTTTTATTGTAAATTTGACATATCAACATTCACTATTGAAGTTGTTGTTGTTGAAATAATTTGAACAAGTTTAAGAGGAATAGAAGTAGGAATTAGTCCTGAAAATACCTTCCCAACCACATTTGGTTTCTCAGCTCCTGCAACCTTTGATGATCCACCTTTATCTCCCCCTTGTGACACGAGCAATGATAGTAGAGTATTTGTGGGTAATCAAAGTACCAAATTTAGAATTAGAACTAGTTGGGATTTGAAAGATGCTTCAATTGATGACACAACAACATAAATATTCTCTTAAGATATCAAAGGTTTAGAAGAAACAAAACCTTCGACAACTCCACTTGAAACTTATTAAGCGGAATTTCAATTCCTTTTAACAACTTCCCATTAGATTCATTTTTCTTACTTAACTATTCTTTATACTCAACATTAAACGCTGGAATATCTTTAACTAATATGCTAGTAGCATAAAGCAACACATCGAAATTCTTCTGTATGCCAGTGCAAAAACCATCAATCTTCTTCACCTCTTCAATAACAAAATCAGGAAGTCCCTTAACCTTCAACTCAACTACCTCCTGATAATCTTTCATAACCTTCTCTAATGGCTCATGTCTTTTCCGAGTAACAATTTAAACTTTTGTAAGGCGATAATTATAAGAATTCATATCATCATCAAGTATCTGCTCAAGATTAGTCATATCATTGTTGACTAAGAACTTCATCTATGATTCTTGAGATTTCAACAAAATTTCAACATCTTCTTTGTTTACTGATGAAGTAGAACCAACATAATCATTGAGAAGTTGTAATATTGTATTGAGCTTAAAATTGATTATTTTGTACTGCTTCCTTGACATAATAACATGATCTTCGATATTTTCTTCCTGATAATCGAAATCAAGATCAACAAATTCAACCCACTCTTCCTCTTAAGTGTTGATGGTCTGGTTTGTAGATTGAGAAGAAAATAATGTAGTAATGGGTTGTTGTAAGTGTTGGGTTTTAAGTACTATAACATTCCTATGGTACATATATAACCCCAATAGCTTTGGATCTAAGTTTTCTCAAGTTATACATGCAATAAAATTTCTAAAGCATGAAGCCTACAACTAGCATACAATTTTGGAACATGAATCATAAAATCAAATTAGAAGAATACCTCTTTATTGTAGCTTGTAGTTTTGTCCTTTCAAGAGCTTAGCACCTCAAGCGTGATGCCTCAAATGGTTTACAAACACCATGAACAAAGGAGGACTTTGAGAGAGAGGTTAGACACTCTAAAATCAGTTATCTCTCTTCCTAAAACACTTAAGGTCCGATTTTAGCTAAGGGATAACATATATATATATATATATATATATATATATATATATATATATATATATATATATATTGTAGAATTCCAAGAGTCATGGGTAAACCCTAATCCATATACTTAGGTTATGATCCATATCTCATGTGTGCAAACTCTTCATGGATACTTGCATAAACTTAGCCCAACATGGATCAATAGCCCAAACTATATATATATATATATATATATATATATATATATATATATATATATATATATATATATATATATCACTGACTTACATAATCAGTCCCTGTTAATTTAATTAGTCTCTTTTGATCACTAGATTAATTCTTGATCAATACTAATTAAATAATAAAATTTCACAATTTATATATATATATATATATATATATATATATATATATATACACACACACTTATAATATATTAATAAATCATAAATAACCTCTTTCTCAAATATCCATCCTATCAGATTGTTCTGGTGAAGCCAACCCAAATGGATCATACTACTCTCAGGTCAAGTACATACCAATTATAATTATGGGCTTAGACGCCTAATCTAATAGTCTCCCACTTGGATAAGTCTAATAACTATTATTGCAAGTATGACTCCAAAATCCTGACTAGCAATTGTACCTCTCAAAAGTCGTTGTCGAACTCTGACCTAGTCAATGACGCGTCCATTAGATGAGGGGTCATATATTCCTCCATTCTAGATATCGTATGAACTGAGACATGGATTATAGTCATTATCTATGTTCATGTGTTGTTTCCCGATTTCCGATTTATGAGGACTAAATAGCTGAACAAATTGAATCGGTCCAGGCTTGGCCAAGCACTTAGGGTTGTCATCACTAAATCATCTAGGGGCCCACAAATATCATTTTTATCCACATTGGGTAAAAGGAACAGATAAAATTCGACTTAAATGCTTGCTTGTAGTTACTCATCAAATCACACACAACAATATGTTTTATAACACCAAGTTACTAGTGCGTTTACATATGTCAATGTGCAATCGACTTGTAAACTACAACTTACATGTTTTAGTTTCAAGAATATAAGATATTATCATCTCACAATCACTTGTGATAAAATCCATGAAGTGATTCAGATGAGCGTGGGTTTAATCCAATACTCAAATCTTATTATAGGAGTACTCATGAACACTGCAACAAACTTGTGCTATGTCTAACATTTAGACAATCTACAGACGGATTCATGACAATCTTGCCTCAATACCTACTTCCAAAGTATGATCGACCGTGGATGGTTTGAATAATCTTATTATTCGGGAAGTCAAAACATGCAAAATGAAACACAGAAATAATCGAATTCAATATGGTCTCAAAACTTTTGAATATAAAAAAAACATTTTATTTAATCACCATATTGATTACACATTATTCATTGTATAATGTTTAGATTTATCAACTTTACACTTGAATTAAAACAATAGTTATCCCATGCTCTAAGCATGCACACTATGTTTACCTACTCTGTGAAATAGATCACTTGTAAACATTTCCAATGACACTCATTTCACAATTCCAAATCCTTATCGTAAGTGTAAGAATACCAAGTCCTTGCCACTTACTGTAATCTGTCAGATTCTAAGATTATATGCAATGATCCTTTGATAATGACTATGTACACAAGTCACAGAGACTTTACCAATTACAAGACTTCCATTGGAGATTATTACAAGACAATTCCATAGATACGAAGTCTCATATTCAAAGCACATTCCTTTGAACATCCTTCTTGCATAAAAGTTTCTAACATGTTCATAGATTCTTGATATTCAACTCCCATTACGAAATTTTTTCCATAATTGCCATATGACTATCCATTCTTATTAGAATCCTATCTATTAAAAATCATATCAATATGATCCATTCATTACTATACTTCCAACTGTCCTTAAGTAACTAATCCTTAGCGAACCTCAGATCGTCCTTGACAGCTGTTTAATAACTTTTAGTCATATCTGGTTCTAGTACTTTTTCCCTATTAATGCCCTAGGCATTTGGAAAATTAGAACACGTGAATATTATAGCATATACAATCGATCCTATATCCGAAGCATATGGGACACGATTCATAATGTCTTACATAAAAACCTAATACTTTACTAGTCTCTTGCTATAACATTTCCATATATAGAATTTCCATATGTCAAATCTTTCAACATAACATTCATATATGTCCTTGACTAAATTTGATTAAAATTCTCAATCTAAACTTTTAGAAATGAAATGAAGTATAAGTTTATCTCCTTTAATTATAGCAAAACAACTTTTCAAACCCTGCAACTTTGCGAATTGAAACCTTTGTTTTCTATAATTAACATTGCTAACTCACAAAACTTACCATAATATATGCTCCCAATAGCATAACAATTATTTTGTTACTAGCATAACATTTATGCTCCCACTAGCTTTGACGTGTATTCAAAATCAGTTGGACTTCTAGAAATCAAACCTTCTTAACTTTCTTACCAAAGTTCAGAGTTCTGATACAAGACGCTTCGATAAGACTTTATCTAGTCTTCTCAGACGCATACACCTTTCCTTAGATAGCTCACATGCGTGTCTAAACAATTTTAGAACTTACAGTAATAAGTCCCGAATTTTTAGACCTTTTGCCATTTCTCACAATTCGAACTATGAAGATGGATGTCGCAGTCATAATCGAATTTGAGAACGCAATTAACACAAATGCTATCTTCTCAAGATCTACTTAGTGAAAGTTTTTCCTCACAATCATTTTCATGAATTGGAGAGAAACCTTATGACAATTAGATTTTATGGTGTATGTGTTTTTATCCATGTGAATTTGTCATAACCATAATCACAAGACAAGGTTAGTGACAAATCCAAACTTATATGGACTGAACTTGTTCAATATTAATTTCTTGCCACCTGGCAGCACAAGGGACTACCATGTCTTTCAAGTTGTTCATCATATCACCCTTACTGATCAATGAACTTTCACTGACCAAGGTGCTTTGATGTCATAACTAGCATTTTAGCTAGGAAATTCTATTCTCATGTAAACATCATCTATTTTAAGACATGTGTTCTAAGTAAAAATCATACTTTATGCTTAATCAAAACCATCCACTTGAATCCAAACCCTTGATTTAAGTTCGAAACCTAATACAATACATCGCATACATTCAACTATGGATTGAAAACCCTAAGAATTCCGGTTCGGGGTTATTCTGGGATAGGATTCTCTTATTGGGCCTAATGGACCAGTTAACTTTCAGTTTGACTACTTTGAGCCTAGGAACCCTATTTGGGCTCTAATGGACCCATATCCATGAAATTAGGGTATTTTGGGTCATATGGGCCTAGAATAATCAATCTTACTTCTAATGGGCCATGATGGGCCATAACTAGTTTCATTAGCCCTAATGGACCGTAAACTACATTATTCGGCTTCTATTAGGCAGTGAACACCAATGAGAGCCCAATGGTCTGAAAACTTCTATAATTGGGACTTGTATTTTCAAGAGTATTCAAATTGTGGCCTAACATAACTCTTATCCCCTCTCGTCACCTTATTCTTGGTTTTAGAATAAAAAAAATAAGAAAAAGAGAAAAGGGTTAACTAGCTTAATGCATGGCACCTCATTGTTGTTTAGAGGATAACCAAGCCATTTACACATCATGTAACAACGCATTCACATATCTCCATGAAACACCTTGTCTCTCCCTTCCCACTTCTTCTCGTTCTCGGCCATAAGGCCTTCCCCTACCACCATTTTTCATTTCAAACTTAGAAACACATTCTTCATTCCTCTCATACCTCCCAAAGAACCCAAGGAAAATTTCACCACTTCTCCTTCCTAGAATTCGTGAACTAGGGTGTTCACCAAGATTTTATTCAAATATCATCACTTATTTGGTAAGCTACCCTTTAAGCTTGATTATTAACTTCATTTTATGATAATCTTCACTCTTTGACACTTCATTTCATGATCCATGATCTTAGAACTTCATAGATCTCAAAAATCTCTTCAAGGGAGCTTGTAAAGCTAAAAACTCCTTTAATCTTCATCAAAAACCAAAAACTTCAAAGCAAGGTGAGTTCATACCCCCTTCTTTTTTATTTTCATAATGTTTTGGGGAAGAATACAACTTGTGTTGTGTAGATCTATATGTATATCCATGATTTTGTGTGTTTTCATGATAAATGTTGCGATATGTGTTTTACTTTTGGAGTTTTACTTGAACTTGAAGTTTAGCACTTGGATCTTCATAA